CCCCCCCCCCCCCCCCCCCCCACCCTTAAGTCAGAACGTCTATCATTGGAGTGAATAAAAAAGGGTTAAGAGAGTCAACCCCGAAAACCTTTATTTACCCTAACTTGCCCCATCGTACATAGTTTTTACTACACAAATGTATGCAACTCAAACCCCTCTCTCCTCAAGACACTTTCATAAAACCTCTCTTGGCACCCTGTCGCACACCTTCTCGAGGTCGATAAACACCATATGAAAATTCTTATACTTAGCTCCATACTCTTACACTGACCTCTGCATGAAGTGAATGGTTTTTGTGATCAAAGAGTCAGGCATGAAACAAATTGCTTCTTGAAAATACTCAATGACACGCTCCAAAATATTCATTCACGATGTGGCTAAGTATCGTAGTTTGATGCCTCCGTAATTCTTGCAGCTCTGAACGTCATCCTTACCCTTAAACAGGGGGACAACACATTCTCTCTCCACTCGTCCAACATCCTAGCCCTCTTCAAAAAAACATTAAAGAATTTGGTTATCCAAAGTAGTCCACTGCAGTCGACATACTTCCAAAATTCTACTGGATCCTCATATGGCCCAAAGGCTCTCCCACTTTTCATCTCGCAGATGGCTCGTGCCACCTCCTCCTAACTAGTGTGCCGATAATACCCAAAGTCACGATGCATCTTAGTCTGCACGAGCTCACCTAGTTCTAGCCTCGGGTCTAGGAGTCCATTCATCCTCCGCAGCTTTGTAGTCCAATTTTTTATTTTCTTTTATTGTAAATCCGAACAATTTATAAGCTTGGATCCCTTTCAGTTTTCATTCCTATGCCATGAATTATTTATAACAATATACATTGTCAAGCTCCTATTAGAAGATAGAACTAATGCAACTTCTATTATGGTAGTTTCATTATTACTCATATATCTGGGTTATTTCTTTACGAATAAAGCTATTTGTACATTAAGGATTGTACTCCAGGTTGTACACCACATGTGTACACCGACACTTTGATAGTTTACACTCGTATAAATGATAGTGTGATATATCTGGATTGTGTATTTAGTTTGTGCCAACGTGGACTATTAAAGCATAATTTGGAATACTCCGTATAATTCTTGGTGTACACCTAGCATGATTGTTTCTTTATTGAGATTTGACCGTACAATCATAGCATGTAACTCAACAAAAAAAAGATGAGTCCCATCTCCGATGGCCCACTCAGACCCAGACAAACGGTCACTGAGAGTAGATAAATTAGACTTTGATCGCAGATTAGTGGCAAATGGTGGAGCCTGCACTTGGTACTTGCAGAGGCTCTATGCTTAGCATAGTTGCCTCTCAGCGTGGTTGTCAAGAATCAAACTACTGCACAGCACCCACCGGGTCCATGTAACTCAACAAAATAACGGAAGAAGCAAGTTTTGATTTGATTTATTTATTTTGATCTGAGTAGCGTGTTCCCACTAGAGTAACCCACCCTCCAACCCAAAGGCCTCAAACAAAGAGAGAGATAGAGAGAGAGATAGTGAATCAATCAATTGAATGCAAACCAACTTTGGGGGTACCCACCACTTCCCCCAAAATCCTTTCCTCCAAATAATCAAACAAACAAACATGGCCGGAATCAACCCAGCACACCACTCCAAAGACCTTCAGGTCCTTTCTCCCTCCCATACTACTAATAGACCCGCCCACGACGACGATCCCCCTGCTGAAGGGCAAAACGGGAACACCCCCACCACCACCAATAAGAAGCATCTCGTCAAGAGGAGCTCCAACAAAGACCGGCACAAGAAGGTCGACGGCCGTGGCCGGCGAGTCCGCATGCCCGCCCTCTGCGCCGCCCGGATCTTCCAGCTCACCCGCGAACTCGGCCACAAGACCGACGGCGAGACCGTCCAGTGGCTCCTCCAGCAGTCCGAGTCCGCCATCATCGCCGCCACCGGTTCCGGGACCATCCCGGCCTCCGCTCTCTCCGCAGCCGCCGCCGCCGCCCAGCCTTCCGAACAGGGGAACTCTGTTTCCGCTGGACTCGCAGAGTTCAGAAACCACTGGGGGACGCCCGCTGGTGCGTGGGCGTCCATACCGGGTTTCAACCCGGTTTTTCCTGGAAACCAAATCTTGACCTCCATGCCCAAGTTCGGTTTCCAGAGTTTCACCGAGTTTCCCAATCCGGGCAGCTTCGGTGCCCATCACCTGCCCGGATTGGAGCTCGGTTTGTCCCAGGAAGGGAGGATCGGGGGCGTTAACTATCAAACGTTAACCCAATCCTACCATCAACAACAACAACAACAGCAACAGATTGGGCAGACTGGGAACAATCATCCAATGAATCATCCAAACGAGTCTCAATCTCAGTAGAACAAATTAAACATTTCTTCTTCTTCTTCTTCTTTTTCTTACTTTTGTGTTTATATATATGTGTTGAGAATAATGATGGGATCAAATTTTGATGAAGTTTTGAGTGTGTTAGTAATAATTAGCTAATGTATATACATGCAAGTTGTGTTTGGTTTGATTTTCTTTTTTTTTTCCTTTTTTGCTTTCAATAATTAAGGGTGAGATTTTGCAGTTGTTGATGATGATGGAATTAGTGTTTTGGATTGGATTTTGATGACACTTTTCATGCCC